CGCCTGGTTCCAAGTCTAATGTCAGGAAAGAGAAGGTTGGAGGCCAAGCGGGTGCGCGAAGAACGCATCCTCTCCTAGTTCTCCCTGCAGGATGGTGGCGAGGGCGCGCAGGGTGAGTCCGATAATTGCACCCGGGGTCGTTCTTCTCCTTCATGTCTGCCGCCCCCTCCCGCCCTCAGCGACGCGGACACTCGCTGCGAGGCAGGCGGTGAGCCCGTCTGCTCAAGCGACGACTGGGGCGGCTTCTCGGAGGCAGACCCCTGGGCGGACGAGACGGTGTTCCCACCTGCTCCCTCACTCAGCCGCCCGTGCTCTTCTCTCTCTCTCTCTCTCGCCAGATACTAATCAGCCAATTAGACAATCGAACAGCACAGAGCACCAAGCTAATTCGGACCCCCCCGCACCCTCCGATCTCCCCGAGACCCGCCGTCCAGGGGTCTTCTTCCGAGGAGCAGTCCGAGACGTTGGTGTGCCCCCCCGATGTTTCATGTGCCCAATGATGCGTGGAAGGAACACAGAGCTCGGATCGGTTTTCAGTTCTGCCACCCAGTGCCCTCCATCGGAGGCCATCGTCCGTTCCGCAGCTTACCACCTCGGCTCAAAAGACACAGACTTGCAGTTTTGTTGGATCCGCACCGTGGAGGCCTCCATATTCACGCGCCGTCGGCAGGTCCAATCTGGAACTACTCGCGGAGAAGCGCCTCAGTTAGAGGTCTCGGTCGTGCGTCCAGGAACCCCCTCCCGACTGGCACCTCTCCGAGACATGATCAGCGGCTGGCGGGCACGGGGCAGCGCAGTCATCAGCAGTGCCGCACGGCATCTTCGACGGGCAGGTGGCGACAAGCAACTTGCCATCCTATTCCACGCGGGCCGCAACCTCCTGGGCGACACGCCGTCTCAGGCGGAGCAGATCACCAGGCCCGCCGACAGATTCGACTGGAGGCACTGGCAACAATTGCTCGAGAACCTTCAGAGCACACCCTTAGCTCAGCTCGATGTCAGCGCTCAGGCAGTCGACAGGCTGGCCAATCGTAGCCAGAGACGGGCACTGAGCAGATCTATGACTGAATTTCGAGAATGGGCCGAAACAGCACCTGCCATCGCCCCCCCCCCGCAAAAAAAACGGAAGGAACCCCGGCCAGGGGTGCGCGACGTTCAGATCAACGGTCCGATTCTGGTATATCCCAAGGACATCATGGATTTCAAAAACAGAGAATGGGTGCACGTGCGGGCTCCAAATTTTAATGGGTGAATGGGCGACAGGCTAAACGAAGCGATCTGCAAGATCTCTGTGCTGAGATACGCGACAGGGTACGCTGCGAAGCCTTGCCAGACCCCGCCTTTCTTGACATCAGGAGTGCGTTAGCACGGATCAAGCCTTCTGCAACTATGGGAGTGGATCGGTTGAGTTCTCACGACCTTCTACGGCTACCTGATGAGGCCATTCAAGAGATGATCATCATTTCATCAGTCTGCGAGTCCACCCAGACTTGGCCCCATCAGGTCCTCCTCAGTATCGGCACCCTTCTTCACAAGAAGGTACTGGGAGGCAGGATCATCGGACTTCCTCTACATTTGTCCAGGGTTCGGTCCCAGGCGCGAGAGCGATATGTCACGAAACGGACCTCAGTCTGCGAGGCGTACTGGGGCGCGGCCATCAAGGGCAACGCGGCAGTTCGGGAAGTATTTCTCAGATCGATCGGCGAGGAGCTCGCAGCCAGGCTTCAGATGCATCATAGCAGCGGCCCCCTCGATATCAGCAAATTTTATGACTCCACCGGTTGGCTACAGCTTGGCAGGGCAGCCATGCGGCTGGATCTTCCTGCAGAAATGTTGGGCCTGGAGCTGCTGCGGCGCATGGCGGCTCGTTGTCTGCGGCGGGGGGGGGGGGGGGGGGGGGGGGGGGGGGGGCGCGTGCCCGGGGCCTTTTCGCACTGCTCCGCTCGGTGGTGCAGGGGCTTCGAGGAGGCACTCGGTTTGCCAGATGTGCCACGTATCGCATCATGCAGAAGCTCACCACAGCACATGCTCGGATGTCCCAGCGCCTGTGGCTGGACGATCTCAGCCAGTCGGTCACGCGCTCCAGACAGAGCATGCGCAGGCAATTGGTCAACTGTTTAGTGGACACACGTCGCAATATCCACGAAGCAGGTCTCGAGATTTCGCCCAAGAGGGTAATAGTGTGCACCGAGTCTCAGGACGTTTGCGGGATTGCGAGGCGCGCGAAGGACTTCGGATTCTCTGCGGCACCACAGTCAGTATACATTGGGTGCGATCTTGGAGGGGGCTCGAGGCACGCACGTGCCAATTAAGTCTCAAGACAGAAGACAGATGAGCGAGAAGGTTGTCAGATATGCCAGATGCACTCGGAGATGTCGCGTCACAACACGACTCGAAGCTCAAGGGGCGCAAGCAGCTGGTACCTACGGCCATCGACTTCGCGGAGTGCATGGAGGCGACATGGTTCAGATTCGGAGGCGACTCGACAACGCCCTAGGCCCCAAGGTTTCTGGCAAGTGCCTCACCACGTTGATCGATATCTTGGCACCTGGTCGGGGCCCAGCCTACCGGCTGCCGCAAGATTGATTGAGGCTGTGGCTCTCATGGTGGGCTCAACAGCCCACCATTCGGAAGGGCGTCACCAGGACCTGGACCTCCCTCGTCCAAGAGCTGCAAGCCATTCCCACAGCCCGGCGCTCGCGGCACATCAGAGGACCCCAGGGTGCGGTCACCAGTAATCTCCTACTGGCTCGATGGGAACCACTGGGACCAGCACCTTGGGAGACGCCAGTCGGGAGCGACGGCCTCGACCATCATTGGACTTCCGACGCTAGCAATCTCACTGGTGTCGAATCAATGGACTTCCCAGACGAACTATTTCACAGCTTCGGCGAGGCGCCCATGGTGGATCATTGGCGGAGGCGCTGGGCTGGACGCAGGTGCGTACAATCGGTCCAATCGACATATTCTGGCTCAGCTCCAGGAGGTGCAAGGAGGGCGGGAGCTGGCAGGCCTCATGTTGGCGATAGCCATCGGTGGCACCTGGCCCAGAGCTCGACGACAGGAACGCGCCAAGCAGAAGCTGAATATCACCTGTCCACGATGCGGTCAAGCCGATGAGACAGATTTTCGTCGGATTTGGGAATGCGAGGGCAGGAGCGAACATCACATTTACGAGCTTTCTCAAGAACTGGCGGGACAGGCCTACGCGAGCGGGAAAGCAGAGGCCTGCTTCTGGACGCGAGGGCTAATCCCGAGTTCCTGGATGCAGATCCCAGCCCCGCAGCAGTCCGAGGACTGGCACGTCTCTGCGGGCAACTACCTCGAAGGCTGCGCAGGCCACGGGACATCATATCGCCCCTTGTACATTTTCGGCGACGCCAGCGGACGAGCTGACAGCGCCGACCCACATTTGCGCAGGGTCGGAGTCGGCCTCGCGTGCTTCCAGGACCTGACGGACGACATGCAGCGCGAGCTGGGAATCTGGAGAGGATTACCTGGCGGCTGCCAAACGGTGGCCAGAGGCGAGTTGCTGGCACTACTACTGGCGCCGCGGTCATGTACAGGCCATTGCGTCTATGTCAGTGACAACGAATCGGTTATCCTGGGGTGGTACAGCCACCGACACCAGCACCCCGCGGGACCTGACCACGGCCTCTGGTGGGACATTGGGCTGTGGTTGGCAGCCCACCCAAATCAGGTGTGCAGGGTGGTCTTTGTGCATTCGCACCAGGAGGCCGACGAAATTATTTCTGGCAGGGCTCCACGGCTTGGTCTTGGGGAGCACCATGGCCGATGCATTTGCGGCCGTGGGCGCTGACCTCGCCCGCGTGCCCGAGTAGCACAGAGTTCGTTAACAAATGATCGAGCACAAAGCTTTTCTGGTCCGCGTGAGGGCCCTCCAGAGCACCCGTGAGGCCCTTCAGTGTGAAGCCGAGCTCGACAAAGGAAGTTCCAAGAGCAAGCGTGCGAAAGAGCTCGTGCGGCCTCCTGCTCCGTCCATCTGCAGTATGTTTGCCTCATCCCACGTATTGTGCGAACACAACAGTAGAGCACGCGAGCGATGTAATGGGGTCGGCCACACACGCCAAACGTAAGGGCTGGCTCGATTCTCCTTGTTTCGATCTCGTCAATCTCGACGGGACCCTGTTTGAACCCCCTCCAGGGCGGCGGGTACATATTGCAGGGGGTTTTCCGCACTCAAGTCATAACATTCGGTATCACTCGGGGGTCAGGGTGTGGTTTTGCACCATGTGTGGGTGATTTGCGTCCCAGCAGCTCGAAGAGCTTGCTCGAGAATGTGCCGAAAAGGTTGAAGATATTCGCGGGGATTACTTAACCAGGATCTCCAAGGGTCTCAGGCCCCAAGCCTCCAGCAAGGCAGAGAAGGCCAAGCAGGAGAAATCCATTGTTTATTTTCATTCAACCGACCTAGTCGCCATATCCAGACCTCCAGAACTCCTCCTCCTCCTCCTCCTCCTCGTCCTCCTCCTCCTCCTCCTCCTCCTCCTCCTCTCCCTCCTTCCCTTCCTTTTCCTTTTCCTGTTCCTCCTCCTTTTCCTCCTCCTGTTCCTCCTCCTCCTCCTCCTCCGCGTCCTCCTCCTCCTCCTCGTCGTCCTCCCCCTCCTTCTACACCTCCTCCTCCTCCTCTTCCTCGTCCCCCTCTTCCTCCTCCTCCTCCTCCTCCTCCTCCTCCTCTTCCTCCTCGTCCCCCTCTTCCTCCTCCTGCTCCTCCTCCTGCTCCTCCTCCTGCTCCTCCTCCTCCCCCTCTTCCTCCTCCTCGTTTTTCTCCTTCTCCTCCTACTCCTTCCTGCTTCTCCCTGACCTGACCCCCCATGGCATGGTGTATACGCCTCCTGGCTGATGCCAGAAACATGTATACACCATCGCGGAGCCCAGGGTGGCCCTCGCCAGAAAACGGTGCTGGTGTCTATATGGCATCTGCGGAAAGAACACTCTTCCTGCCCAGGCTGGTCCGAAGTCGGATCCTGGCCCAGCCGGGACAGTACACCGGGTCGGTCGAGCTCGGTCGATCGCGCATGTCCCGATCGACTGTTGATGATCGATGGATCAACGGTCCACCATCTACGAAACGGCAAAGGCTGATGGATCAATGCTCTGTGAGCGCACGGCCCTGAGCACGTGCGCATGTCTCTGCAGCCCGCGGTCCTCCGCACACCTCTTCAGGGAGCGGTGGAGGTCCATGACCATCTCCGAGAGCGAGCTGTGCAGAAGCTCTCCTTGCTATGGGCGTTACTATCACACCACTACGGATCAACTGGTGGACGAGTTGCAGGCATCCAGAGCATGCTGGACGAAATGTGGCGAGTTGTGAATCATCTGCACCATGATGAGACAACATATAGCTAAGACAAGCTATGGCCCTCAGGCAGACATTTCTTACACACTGCCCTCTTCACACTCAGGCCTCACGGGGTTATGGGATACGACATGTTTTCGCATAGTTTTCCAGAGACCTCGCGCGGATGCTTTACCAACCCTTCCCTTGACCATTCAAGGCCCCTATCCACTTGCTGAATGTCTGCGTTGTGTTACGGGGTGGGGTGCAGTTCGTAAGAAAATGCCACTATGGCTTCACTACCAAGGTGATGACCCACATGTGACAAAACTCCTTGCCCGTACCCCGTTCACAACCTGCCCGCAACCCGCGTGCAGCTCCTGCTTTTAATATAGCAATGACCAGCCAATAGCGCGCCTATACTCTACCCGTATCGTAAGAATGAGCCCCTGCCCGAGCCTTCCGAGCCAGGCACCCGAATGCAATCAACTCGGGAGGCCTGAATACACAATCACGGTGTGCTCTTCACCGTCCCTCCCTCCGACCCGTCGCCGGGACCCCTCCCCCCACCCTCTCCGACCTCCTCCTCCGCGCTCGCAGATACCCTTGCAAGGCTCTCCCAGAGCGCTCAGCACTCCATGATCGAGAGCCTGATCGCCCTCCGTGATCCCACTGGTCCTGGCCAGTGGATCATCAACACGATCGAGCCCTGGCTTCCAAACCACGGCCTGCTCTGAGCTCGACCATGACAACCATGCCCGATCTTTCCTCTACGGGCCTCTGAGCTCACCATCCCAGCTTTCCACTCGAGTCCTCTAGGCTCTAGGATCCGCCCACAGCCTCTGTCTCCTCTGGGCCGCACCCCCCTGAGGGGCTGAGCCCTCCCGAGACCCTTTGCAATTCTCTCTCTCGTTCGGCATGTGCTCCGCACCATGGACCCAGCAACTGCACGCAACGAGGCGTCCTGTATCGATAGAGCAGCTGTGGACATCGAGCGGGTGCGAAGGCTCGAGGCCCCTCCCGATGGGCGAAACGACCGAGCAGATGAGAAAATGATGACCGAACCGATGTTGTTGAAGGGGCCCTGGGACACACAAATAAATACACACAAATAAACATATCCCCCATATTTTCCCATATTTTCTGGGTTTTTGTCTTCCCCCCACTTCCCATATTTTCCCATATTTTCTGGGGAGTCGACGATTAATTGTGTCTGTGTGTTTCTTTCCCTCCTGAGTTGTGGCAAAACGAACTCCTCGAAACAACATCGAGCGGGCCGCGGACCCGCGGGGCCTTGGGAGACGAGCCGCGACGCGTTGTTGAAGGCCACGATCATGTCGCAAACCTGGTGGGAGAACGAACTGCGTAAACAGAAACTTTCAGAACGCCCCGCGTACTTCTTGGATCGGCGCTGGGCGTGCCTGCCTGGCGCGCGTAGCGCGTCAGGGGCGGCGCCGGAGACGCCGCCAAGGGCATCCAGCGCCGAGCCAAGAAATCCGTGTGGACCGTCGAAACTGTATGTTCTTACCGTCCTGTCTGCTTCGGGAACCGAAGCTCTGCCGAGGTCTGTCTGCATCAAGTCCTCGATCAGTGGGTCCGCCGTGTCCACCGCCAGCGGCTCCGCCTGCGTCCCCAGGCCGCACACGGGCAGCAGCCGCGCCTGCCTCCGCAAGTCCACCGGCGCCCAGTCGAGCGGCGACCGCGAGAAATTGAAGAAGTCGAGGAAGCCCAGTGTCGCGCTTGGGTCCCGGCCGAAGCACATCACCTGAGCATCGTTTGAACGATTCCTACCCCAACTCGCGTGGCCCTGGCCCCAATGGCCGCGTTACCCAACCGGGTGGGGATGTATGATCCAAGTTGCCCTGCCCCCCCCGCTGGATGGGTACGCCCGTGAGCCTCGCGAAGGCCTCGCGAATGGGATCGCTCTCCCCCCCTGTGGTCGTGGCCCTGTGGGCGTGGCGTGGTGAAGGGTGGACGGCGTCGGCGTCGGCGTCGGCATCGGCGTCGGCGTCGGCGTCGGCGTCGGCCTCGTCCTCGTCGCTGTCGCCGTCGCCGTCGCCGTCGCCGTCGCCGTCGCCGTCGCCGTCGCCGTCGCCGTCGCCGTCGTCGTCGTCGTCGTCGTCGTCGTCGTCGTCTTCGTCGTCGTCGTCGTCGACGTCTTCCTCACCCCCATCCTATCTGGGGTGGGGAGGGGGGCCCTGTGGAACCCTGGGGCCCATCCCATCTGGGGTGGGGGGCTGTGAACCCTCGACCCCGGATCATAGATGGCTGTCTCTTGAGGTTTCGCGGGGCCTGCCCCTTTTTAGGAGGGTGGGCTGGTGGGAAAGAGCTACCATGGCCCAATGGGGATGCAAACAAATTATGGGGAAACCAAAAAGGAACTGATAGCACTACTCCCGGACCTCTCCTGGGCTGCGTCCTGGTCAGAATTTCGAGGCGAATCCGCGAGGGCCTCCCAGGAGGTCCAAGAAGGCGAGGACGAGGCGAAGGTATCGATATCGGTACATTGTCCTCCTCTGAGGTTGGATAATGCTGATCACCAGCTGCCCCTTCGCTTCGAACGTCGCGCGCAAGGGCCTCCAGAAGTTCGGCCCCTCGGACAGCCCGCGTGCCAGGCGCGCGAGCCGCGCCGCGCGGTGCCCCCGGCGCCAGCGGCCATGCAGCATCGACAGCGGGGGGTAGAGCAGATCGAAGCAACGCTGACAGAATCAGAAACAGCTACACAAACATACACTTCCGGAGCTCCGCGTGGCTTTCTCGGATCGGAACCCCCGCGGCAGCGCCTCGGCCGCCGCCCCCGGCGCCAGTGAGGGGGCTCCAGCGCCGATCCGAGCAATCCGTGCGGCCCTCCGAACGTTTAGGCTTCTGTAGCTTTTTCTCCTTCGAGCTGAGCCAGGCTCTCGGGCCTCGGCACCGCCGCCAGCGCACCAGCCTCCAGCGCGAGCCGCTGCCAGCCCTGCTCCGAGACCTCGCAGGCCAGCTGATCTGGCAGCTCCCTCGGCACGGCCCAGGGGTCGCCGCTGCGGTTCGAGCCGGCGAAGTAGATCCGGCTCGTGTGGAAGGGCAGGTGCTCGGTCGTGAAGTGCAAGCCGCCCTCGTCCCGAACCTGCGCGCCGACGCAGAGCTGCAGCCGGCTCCGGCACGACCGCAGCCAGGCGCTGAGCCGCGCAGCCAGCGTGGGCGGCGAGTTGGTCGTGCGCGTGGCCTGCACGAACGATGCAGCTGGGCTGACGGTCTCGGAAGGGCTGGGCCGGGCCCTCTCCTGTGCGTCTTGCCGTCGCTTCGCCCTCCTCGAGCGCCACAGCAGCAGGCCCGACAGCACCGCCAGGCTGAGGCACATCGAGAGCAGGCCCCAGGTGCCCCCGAAGAAGTGGAAGAAGAAGCCGGCGGCGCCCAAACACGCGCCGTTCACGGCCACGAACGGCACGCCGGGGTTGCACACATAACTGCAGGAAGAGTTCGGCCACGTGCTGTCGGTGTAGTTGGAGAAGCCCTGCTTGTTGGTGCACTCCAGGCAGTCGCCGACCAAGCCGCCTGGGGAGTACTTGCCCACGGGGCACGGCGTGCAGAACATCGTCGCGAAGCCGGGCTTGCAGGACGCCAGTGGCAGCGCCTCGCCTGGCTTCCCCGCCAAGGTTCTCCAGTAGGATTTCGGCACGTACTGCTGGCAATAGGCGGACATGCTGCCACCACCGACGGATACGTCAAACTTGGTGGCGTCGTTGATCCACGGAGCCGAGCTATTGTAGGAGCCGAAGGCAACAACACCGCCTCCGCCTCCTCCGCTGAAAGTGTTCTTGCTGCACGCAGTGTCGCCGCCAGAGGCGCTGAGGCGCACCAATTGCGGTTCGTCGGCGTCGGGCGAAGGCGCGGCTTCGATAGCGCGCAAGCTGCTCGTGTACACGAGCACCTGGCCACCAGCGCCACCACCCCAAGCCACCTCAGCGCCCTTTCCCTTGGAACCCGAATCGCCGTGCTCGCCGTTTGCAAGGAGCTGAGCGCTGGTTGACACGCTGAGCTCCTGCGCGGACACCCAAACGAGGCCGCCACCAGAGGAATGGTCCGCCTCGCACGGGTCCCCCGCGCAGCCTCCCCCTGAGGCGCCCTGGGTCGGCAGCCTAGACCACCAAGCGCCTGTCGGGCGGGTGGTAATGAGGGGTGACCAGAATGGGGGTGGAGAAGAGGGCCCTAGAAGAGCCCTTCAGGGCCCTTTCACCTCCCATTCAGGCCACCCCACACTACAACACGCCCGAGCCTGGACCACCGGCTGGACCACCGGCCGGACCATCGTACGGCAGTCCACCAGCCGCACACATCCGCATCTGGGACGCGACAAGCTGCGCTGCCGAGCCGCCAGCTCCCAGATGCGAGCCCCCGCCGCCGCCGCACTTGCCGTCTCCGTGCGCCCCAGCCCCGGGGCCGTGGTTGGCGGTGCAACCTCGCCCGTTTGCGTCGAGCTTGGTCTGGTCCTTGAGCTCTGCCTTTGAGCAGGGACCGACCGTCCGGGCTACCACGAGATGTTCTTAGAACCCCCAAATGATCCAAGAACACGAACAATGTTCTCATCACATGAAGCCGATGTGTTAAAGCAAGACAGTCTCAACCAGACATGTTCTAAGAACATTTCGTGCAGACTACAAACATAGGGAGCCGAACTCTATACACCGATGCCTCTTGCGACCCTGCACTGGAATTTGCACTGGGAAATGCATCCTGGTGTATACGGGATCCTGGTGTATACGTTTTCCGTCGCTTCGCCCGGAAAACGGGGAAACAAATATACACCACACCACCCCGACGCCGTCCCCGACCCTCAAAAAGTCCTGGGGTTGAAAAACAGCCCGCCACTGGTAATGTATATGCGCCAGTTTCCGAACACATGTCTAAGAACACTCTCTGGTGGGCCCATAGGCAAGCCAGGACGCTTCGCCACTGCTCGGTGCCTGCCCCCCAGAGCAGAGGAGCATGGAGGCGGCATGCACAGCGGTGTACTCCACCGAGAGGCTCGTCGCTGCCACGAGCTCGAAGTCGAAAGCAACGCTCCCTGCTCGCAGCTCTCCGCCGAGCGACTGTGCGCACACGTCCGCGGGAGGCATTGGCATTGCACTGTTGCCGCAGCTGTCCCCGTTGGTGCGGATGCTGTGGTTCAGCAGCACGATGGTGTCGGCCGTCGCCCGGAGTGTCTTCAGGTTCCAGATCGTGTCCCTCTTGGGCGGCCCCAGCGTCAGCGTGCCGGCCGCGCGCAGGCGGAGCTCGGGCAGGCTGGTGGGGTCATGGTAATCGGTTATCACAGCGGCGATCGTGGCACTGCCAGAGCCGTTCGCCACTACGCTGATGAGAGCCGTGCTTAGCGTGGGCTGCAGGTCATCATCCTGGCCCTTGCTGGAGATCTCCACGCCCCCGGCTGCCGCCTCGATCTCCACCGCCACCTTCGCCGCTACCCTCGCGGCGCTCCGAATCGACAGTCGGGCGCCCGAGAGTTTGACTCTCCCGTTGGCCGCCAGCACGGTGGAGTTCTTCTCTATCTCGAGGCTGCCATTGGCTCTGATCACCAAGTCGCCCGCCATGCCAGAAGAGAGCGCGGCCCCGCCGGTGATCAACACGCTGCCGTTCCAGGCAAGCAGTGTCCCCGTAGCCGTCGTGTTGATAACACACGTATCGTTGTCGACGAAATAGTTGCACTTAATGTCTCCTACAGAGGCACTCGCAAACTTGCATGCGTCCAGCTCCAGTCGAAGATATCGGCACTCGGCCCGTAGTTCCACTTGAGGAGCACGTGCGCCCTTCGAACACACACACATACACGCACACACACACACACATTCACACACATTCACACACACATTCACACACACACACACTTCACACTTCACACGCAGACACACACATTCACACAGACGCACACACGCACACGAACTCTCACACACAACACACACACAACTCACAACACACTCACAACACACACAACACACAACACACACACAACACACACACACAACACACACACACAACACACACACAACACACACACAACACACACACACACACTAGAACCATCGCGCGCGCTTCGGTCGCGCTCATGTTCTAGCCCAGGCCAGGGGGGCGCTGGAAGATCTTGGACAGCGCTATCAAGCACAGGCGCGTGACGTAGTCGTGCCTCCTGAGGGCCTCTTGCGTCTTCGGGGAGCATCTGAAGGGCTTCTGGGGGGTTCTCCGTGCTTCCTTAACTTGCTGTTGGAGGCACCTCTTGGGTGCTTTTTGGGGGGGCGTCTTGGGGCTTCTTGGGGCCCCTTGGGAACATCGTCGGGGTTATCTGGGCAATCGGAGGGTGATGTTCTGCAATATGAAGCCGTCATTGGCCGTCTCGGCTGCGTGGAGGCCCGACTTGACGGCGCCTGGTGCGCCGTCTTGGCCGCCTTGGTGCGGTTTTGGGAGCCTCTTGGGCGGTGCTTTAGCGCCAGAAACACGAAACAGCGAGAATACAAAAAGTATCTAAAAAATCAAACAAATTGGAATCAACGATTTTGTTCTCTCGGGGCGCTTGGGGCGTCTTGGGGCGTCTTGGGGGCCTCCGGTGCAATTGAAAACGCACCGTGCGTCCCTAGAGACCCCTGGATGGCGTCTTGGGGTGGCTCGAGACCGTCTGGAGCCGCCGGGATTGCTGTCTGAGGGCTCCCCGGGGCGATTTAAGGCCTCCCAGAGGCGGGCTCAGGCCCCGGTGTCCACATTTGCGGACGAGGTTCCGGCCCTGGGCCCCCAGGCCCGGTGCGCCGTTATATGTATACACAAACCACACAAAACACACCACAAACACACACACACGCGCACACACGCGCACACACGATACACACAACACACACCACACACGCGCACACACACCACACACGCACACACACACACACGTACACACACGCACACACAGACACACTCACAGACACACACACACATACAGATGCACACACACACATACGCACACACACACACGCGTGCACGCAGACATACGCACACTCTTACACACACCACACACACCACACACACACACGCACACACACGCACACACACACACGCACACAGACACGCACACACACGCACACACACAGACACACGCACACACACACACACACACGCCAAGCGGCGTGTGCTGTGATGTGCTGTGATGTGATGTGCTGTGATGTGCTGTGATGTGATGTGTTGTGTGTGCCGTGTTGCGCTGTGTTGTGCTGTGTTGTGCTGTGATGTGCTGCCACGCACACGCACACACGCGGCCTCGCTGCGCTGTGCTGCGCTGTGATGTGTAGCGGTGCGGCATCTGGAGCCATCGGCTCCGTGCCTGGAGCGCTTGCCTCGGCCCCCGAGGTGTCGCTCCCGTCGTCCTTCGTCGCGGTCGTGTCATCCGCCGTTCTCCCGAACCCTGCCGCCATGGAGCCGGGCGTCCGTGGCGTGGCAACCCTCCCGGTCAAGCAGCACGCGCTGCTGCTACGGCTCTGCCAGGTGTTTACTGCGCGCGCCCGTGTGGGCCCCTCCCTCGCGGCAGCGTGGCTTCGTGACTCCCTAAGCCTCCTCCAGAGGCTGCTGTCTGATCGCGTGCGCCTTAGCATCCTTAGCCTGCGTCACGCTGCCTCTCTCCCCTCCTTCCCCCTCCCGCCTGCTTCCTGGTACTCGATGTCTTTTTCTGTAGGCGTTCGTGCGAACAGCCAGTGCGTTCGCCCATCGTTTGGCTGAGCCCGTGCAGCTTCCATGTCGGCATTGTGAAAGAAACAGTCCCGCGCACGCCTGCCCACACGCACGCACCTGTCGCTGGCTGTGATGCGCTGCGCGGTGCGGCGTGGCGCCGTGCTCCTCCCCTCTCCCTTTCTTCTCTCTCCCCTTGCCCTCCCTCTTCCTCCCCCTCTGCCTCCCTCCATGGCTGCCTGGATTGGGCAGTGCAGTTTTGGCGTACCCCTGCTGACGTTTCGCCGCGAGCGGGCGTTTCGACGACGCCGGTGTCTCCCGTCGTGTCGCCAGGGCCGGCTGGCGTTACGACGGATTCGGTTTTTTTGCGGCATCGACGGAGCGTGCAGCATTGCGCTGCTGCCACCGCGTGCCCCACTGCCCCCTCCTGCCCTCTCCTCTTCCCTCCTCCTCTTCCTCTCTCCGTGGCTGCCCGAATTGGGTCGTGAAATTTTGGCGTATCTCGGCCGGGACCCCGCGCGGGGACACAGGTCCGAGGTTAATGATACGTTTTACTGCGAATTCGTATCCATGGGTGCCTCCTGGTGCAGCGATGGCTTGGCTGTGCACACACACGCACACGCACACAAACATGGGTGGCTCAAACACGCGCTCTCACCCACCAGCGTTCCCACATGCTCCCGTGAGCCTTGTGCAGAGTCGCGCGGTGCAGGTGCGCCCCATCACGCCACCCGGAACCGCCTGACAGCTTTCCACGCCGAGACAGCGCGCACACAGCACGGGTTGCATGCAGCGCCGGCTGCAGCTCCGTGGTTGTTTTGCGTCGCGTGTGTTTGTGCGTAGGTTGGCTCCACCAGTGCGGGGAAGGGGCCGGTCCTGGCGGTTGGGTGCTTTCAAGAGCGGCGTGCGGGGTGCGTATTTTGGTGTTGGGTCGCTGCGCAGCGGACCGTGTCCCACCCACGTACTTCCCCCTCACCCACCGCCGCCTGCATCGTTTGCCTTGGCGCGCGGTTTGGGTTGAGACGGTGTGAAGATACGGCGTCCCGCATTAGGCGGGGAAACGAACGAACACACACACACACACACACACGCACACAGACACGCACACACACGCACACACACAGACACACGCACAGACACACACAGACACACACACACACACACACACACACGCACACACGCGCGCGCACGCACACACGCACTCACGCGCACACACGCGCACACACACATCACACACAGCACACACACCACACACACAAGCACACACACATACACGCACACAGACACACATACACACACGCACACACACAGACCCACACACACAAACACACACACACACACACGCACACACAGAGACATACGCACAGACACACACAGACACACACACACACACACACGCACACACACGCGCGCACGCACACACACAAACACACACACACGCACACACACACGCACACACACAGACACACACACACACACATGTACACGCACAGACACCCACGCACCCACGCACACACAGACGCACACACACACACACACGCACACACACACAGACACACACGCACACGCACAGACACACACACACGCAGAGACACACACACATAGGCACACACACACGCACTTGCCTCAACGGCAGGCACATACGATACGAAATCTTGATAAAGAAATCCAATCGCATTTGGTTTCCTCGACTCCGAATTCCCAAGGTGGGCGCTGGGTCTCTGCGGCGCCCTCGGAAATATCAACTTATCGTGAGCCTCCCACTGGAACCCGACTTCTCTTATACTTCCACTCCAGCGCCAAGACTCCCAACAACAATTTCAGGAAGGCAGCCGTGACGCCACGGAGATCCTAGCGCCACAGCGGCAGTGGCAGCGACAACCCATAGGAGGGACGGTGGCTGCATCATGCACGGTGCCCTGTCCACCGCGCTGGTGCCGAGGCCTCGGGAGGCTTCAGCCAAGATTGCTGCGGTCGCGGTGTCAACCGCTCAGGGTAGATCGCGCCGGACATGCACCGCGAGGACGTTCAGAGGAAAACCAACTTGACATATACGCACGCTTGCAGTAGTCGCGATATGCTGCGTGCCCTCTCAAGAGGAAGCCAGACTATCTACTGGCAGCCTAGACAACATATCGGGCTCGAATCGGGTCGGTCAAGCATTTTTGCCCGGAGAAGGAGTATGCCCAAGTTTCTCTGTCAGTTTTGTTACCAAGGGCCGGGTCTTTGCTTGCGACGGGCCGGCGAATCTATTTGTGATCAGTAACGAAGTCGCGTAGGGCAGGCGAATGACAATGTGACGATGTCCCGAGCGCGACGCTGTTTTTTGAAAATCCGATCGGTAAAACACCAGGTGCGGGACACATTTGGGTCAGGGGCACGGATCCGTTTGTTTTTACATGTGTTCCCGTAGATTGGCCCTCTTCAGGGGCACGAATCCGTCTGTTTTTAAATCTGTTCCTATAGATTGGCCCTCTCCAGGAGGCCCCACGACGGCCCAGGTCACCCACGGGGGTATCTAACATAGTTGTCCCGAGCTTGCACCACGTGTTTAAAGCCACCCAAATGGGTATCTAACACGATTGTCCCGAGCAAGGACCACGTGTTTTAACGTGTCCAGGCTACTCAGGGGTGCAGCTAAAATGTTGTCCCGAGTTGGCACCGCGTGTTTCTGCGCGTCCAAGCCACCCAGGGGAGTGTCTAACAGAGCTGTCCCGAGCAAGGACCACATGTTTTAACGTGTCCAGGCCACCCAGGGGTGTATCGAACATGGTTGCCCAGAGCTGGAACCTCGTGGTGTTACGTGTCCAGGCCACCCAGGGGTGTATCTAACATGGTTGCCCAGAATTGGATCCACGTGTTTTTACGTGTCCAGGCCACCCAGTGGGATATCTAACATGAACTGGAAACACGTGTTTTACGTGTCCAGGCCGCCCAGGGGGGTATCTAACATGGCGTCGGGCCCAACGCTGGATCATTAGGAAACGCACGGGGGGCCGAAAAGCGCTACCCGAACACATATCCCAATACAGAAAAGTGATATGTTCTTGCTCTGGATAGGGGATGGCGCTTTGGGGGCCTCTCCAGGGGAGCGCGAATTCAGCGTATCCAGGCCACGCAGGGGGTATCTAACATGGTTGTCCCGAGCTGGACCCACGTGGTTTTACATGTCCAGGACACCCAGGGGGTTATCTAACATAGTTGTCCCGAGCGGGAGCCACGTGTTTTTTTACATGTCCAAGCCACCCAAAGGGGTATTTAACAGGGTTGTCCCGAGCTGGCACCGCGTGATTCACATGTCCAGGCCACCCAGGGGGATATCGAACATGGTTGTCCCGAGCTTGCACCACGTGTTTATACGTGCCCAAGCCACCCAAGTGGGTATCTAACATGATTGTCCCGAGCAAGGACATGTGTTTTTACGTGTCCAGGCTACTCAAGGGTGTATCTAACACGGTTGTCCCGAGCTGGCACCACATGTTTCTACGTGGCCATGCCACCCAAGGGGGTATTTAATATGGTTGTCCTGAGCAAAGACCACGTGTTTAAACGTGTCCAGGCCACCCAAGGGTGTATCTAACTTGGTTGCCCAGAGCTGGCACCACGTGTTTTTACGTGTCTGGGCTTCCTAGGAATGTATCTAACACGATTGTCCCGAATTGGAGCCACCTGTTTCTACGTGTCCATGCCGCCCAAGGGGGTATCTAACATGGCGGAACCAAGTACTTGAACGTGTCCGGGCCACCTAAGGGGTATCCAGCATGGGCCTCCTGGGGCCTTCCGGGAGGCCTGGAACGGACGTCTAGCATGAAGATGTGTTGAGGATGTCTCGAGCGAACCACTTGTTTTCACTTGTCCAGTTCGCCCAGGCGGATGTCTAGCATGAGGATGTGTTGAGGATGTGTTGAGCGAAACGCTTGCTTGCACTTGTCCAGGTCGCCTAGGCGGATGTCTAGCATGAGAATTTGGGCAAAATGCCTCGAGCGAAACGCTTGTCCCCAGCACGTTCCGTAGCGCGTCTCCTTGGCACGTCCCGCGGTGCGTCCCCGTGGCACGTCCCCTGGCACGTCGCCTGGCGCGTTCCTTGGGACGTTCCGCGGCGCGTCCTCCTGGCATGTTCCCCTGTCAATTGGCTCTGGGGCAGCTACTACGTGCTCGGGTAAATCAAGCTTAAGATCCAGATCAGTTCGGTTAAGACTCGGATGCAAAGGTGGACTCGATCCACAACGCTATAGAACACAATCGCGGCATGTCACATCGCAGTTCAGCACGGCGCAGCACAGCACAGCCCTCGGCACGGTACAGCAAGATCGGTACACTCAGAATTGCACTTGCCCGTCGCCCAATCAGGTGTCTTTGAAACGTTGCCATGCCTTACATGTCTATGTTCCTTTACAAGTTCGTGGGTCGATCATGTTTTTGGACATGCAACGTCCATGTCATGAACGTGAAGGCCTTGCCGGAACTTCTCTTCCAAGCTCAGGGGGTCGCCTTGTGCCGCTACCAAACGTGACGTTGCCCAGCGGAACGAGGATCCAAACCAGAAGGAAGGCCAGGTAATTCGATGCGAGCCCGGGGCCTGTGCCTGCTGACCACGCCGCTGGCGGTCTCATCGGATAGGTGCAGTGTCTCCATTGTCGATGCAATCAACTTTTTATCATCGACGGTATGCTTCCTTCTCGCGGGTTCTTTCAAAGCATACCCACTCATCAATATCCACGGGTTCTGCTGGAAAATTCCAATGCTTTGCGAAACGCTAGTGCATGCAGAAGCGCTTCTCGACCGGTATGGCTTCCCCATCTCCTCAGCAGTGGGGTTCTTGTGATTCGTGTGGCGCCTCCGCATCCTCATCTTCGCCTCCCGCCTGCTTCCTCCCCCCTCCCATGCCCGGACCCACTCACCCGCACTTACTCCATCCCAGGTATCCGCATTCCAACGTTCCTCACTCACACTCAAACGCACCTCGCTCACGCTCAGACTCGCTCACGCTCAGGCTTTCTCCCACCCAGGCTCGCCCATGCTCAAGCCCAACCATACTGAGTCGCTCTTGCTCATACCGCGATGTAGCCAGCATTGCGATTGGACCACCAAATGGGGGTGTGGGTCCTGGGTGCTGCACGGACCTGTTCGCGCCCACGTTGCTTGGATGTCTCGGGCGAAACGCCCGTGTTGGGAAATATACGCATGTCCTTACAGGGTTCCATGGTCACTGCGATGTAGCAGGCATGGCGCTCGAGCCTCCCAACGGGGAGTCGCCATGGAACGTAACACGGGATCGTTCACTACCAGAGTGCGGGTACGGTGAGGGCATTGGATCAGGAACCCTTAGATAAGGATTCCAAGGTCTGGAAGCTGGTGGAACACCAATTGGGCTTGACGGCTTGACCACGGAAATCACCGTCGCCCTTACCAGGTACGGAATCCTCCAGGGTCTGGAGCCCCCTGGGCACATCCCTTAACCAACGCCCCCACCGTATGTCTAGGACGAGAAGAATCTATTGACACAGCGTGCTATTGATACGTTCCGGAAATTCCGGGATTTCTAAAAGCCTTCGCGCGGGGTACACTTTGCGTCGAGTATTGTCTACTCTGGCTGGCGCCGCTGGTCGGTCACCCATTCGCAATCGAGTGGTCGCCCGTAAGGAGCTATTTGGCACTTGCTGACCCCTCTTCTCGTTGCCGAGCGCGGGGGGGACAGTGAAGCGCCGTCCCATCGCCCGCCGCCGCGCACCGCGCGCCTCGGCGGATTTCCAAAGATCTGGCAAGGCAAAGCACGCGCGACTCTGGAAAATTCCCCGGAAGTAAAATTGAACAAACCCAACAAAATGTCTGAACATGTGCGGCCTACTTTTTTTGAAAAAAAATCCGGAATCCATTTTGAAAAATTCCGGATTTCAGAATTCTTCAGATGTCCTGCGCGGCGGGCGCATTCCACCCCTCAAAACTCTTTTTTGTTGAAAATTTCCGCGCTCCTTTTTGAAAAATTCCGGAACCGCTTGCGCGAAAAAAGCGGAAGCGTTTTCTGACACATTCTACAATCCAGAACTAATGTCCGGGCGGTCCGACGGGCGCGGCCGGCTGACTCACGCGCCGCGCCGCGCGCCATTGGGCGCAGCGCGCGCCGCGCGTTGCGCCCTCGAGTAGCACTCGAAGGGGCTACCTCGAAAACAGCGCCACGGCAGCTGCAACTCGCGGGCTCCCCAAGAGCAACGCAGCATGCAGCTTGGAATATTCGAGGGCGCTCCGATGCGCAAAAAATGCACCGCGAACATCACGCAAAGAACCTGCGCGACGGAATGCGCTCGACCATCCGTCCCTGGAGCCCGCGCGGAAGAACAGGAAAACCTGGAAATCTGGACAACTATCAATATCAATACTTCATGCTCCTCTGAATGTCCGCTTCCTCTGGAAGGCCCCATGGCCACCGCGATGTAGCAGTCACGGCAGCTGCCATGGGGTACGGCACGGGCCCGCTCGCGCTCATCTTGCGGGGACGCCTCAAGCGAAACACACCATGCGTTTTGGCGCTTCGGGCACCTTCTCCTCGAGGGCCCCACCATGACCACCGCAGTGTGAAGGGGCATAGCACTTAAGCCTCCCAAGGGAACGCCGCCAGGTGGGTATGACACGGGCCCGTTCGACCCCAGATTGCAGGGATGTCTCAGGCGAAGCGCCCGCTTGGGCTCCTCGGGCATCTCCCTCTTGAGAGCCCCATGACCACCGCGATGTAGCAAGCATGGCACTTGAGCCTTTCAAGGGGGAGCCGCCAGGGGTATGACGCTTGCCCGTTCTCGCCCAGATTGCGGGGATGCCTCAAGCGAAACGCGCGTTTGGGGGAGTACACGCGTCTCTATCACAACCACATGACCACCACGATGTAACAGGCATGGCGCTTAAGCGTCCCAAGGGGAGCTGCTAGGGAAGGCTCACTCATATCCAGATTCTCTTGCATTCAGGCCCGTTTGCACCAAATCTTGCAGACGCAGCC